TCGAAAACAAACCTTTTTCCTCACACAGAGAAAATCAAAACTTCACTGGATTTCTCATGTGTCTTCGTGCATGTAGAGTATCCCATCCTCGTCGCCAAAATGAAACATACTAGCAAAAGTATGGCTCGGTGACATAACAACACAAGTTAACGAGGCTTGCTCAACACAACAACTTTATTCTCTAAGCATCTTGGGTAATACAACAGCTTAACACAACTTCCGGTTACGAATATATTACAGTGATCATCAGGGATCTTTTATCTACCCAGTGGTAGTGGTTGATGACATAAAATGTAGAGCTCCACTGGACACAGGAGCTGGTAGTTCATGTGCTGCGGCAGCTCTGGTTGAATGGCTTAACAAGCATCCAAGACACATCAAACACAGACAGATTGAGATGATGCTTTGTTCAACAATTCAGAAGGTCCAAAACTATACAGCAAAGGTTGCAAGTGTTGATTGAAAGTTTGAAATGAAAGTAAAGATCAGCTGTTTCACTCAGTCCCGAATCCAAATTATGAAGAACTGATAAACTAACATTGTCACCTGGAAGGGGTACTCTGGACAACAATGACAAGAAAAGTGAATCAACCATTCATCTAATACTTGGGGTGGGCGAGTGCTCAAGAATCAAAACTGAGACAAAACCTAGAATCAGTCAACCATTTATGCCTTTTGCTGAGCTCACTAGGGTGGGTTATGATGTCCTCAGGTAGAGAAGCAGCCCTTTCTAATGTTTAGTTCACGAAAACATCAGCAGCAGACTACAAGCAAGTTTAAATGTCTTGGGACTTGAAGATAGACCAGAAACAAACCAGAAAAAAAAACGTTGTGTATGGCGAATTTGTTAAGTAGTTGCACTGAACTGAGTAAGGCTGGCACGATTCAGGGTTGCTGTCAAGCGCAGCAAACTAAGGGATGGTTGTGAGAGTTGTAGACAAGCTGAACAAGAGATTATTTAACATCCCGCATAAACCTGTGAAAAAGGAAACAGCTGTAACGTCAAAACTTAGAATTGTGTTTGATGCATCAGCTAGTCCAAGTCAGTGTTTAGAGACTGGACCTTCCTTGCAGAACCTGTCACGGAATGTACTTGTGCATAATCACCTAAAGCTGGTCGGCTTAACAGCCAACATCAGCCAAGCCTTCAGACTAGTACGAATCAGTCTGAGGACAGGGATGCATTACGATTCCACTAGATCAAGAACAAGGACCCTTCCACTATTGAATTGAAGTCTTGAGATTTACCTGAGCTCTCTTTGGTCTGGTTCAGTTGCCATTCTAACTGGCATTCTGCTTGGTGTAGGCTCACCTATAATGCTAGTTGGAAAGCTTCTGTATCTGAAGTGTGTGAGAAACATCTACCATGGGATGTGAAGTTGCCTGACAGAATTGGACAAGAGTGGGTAAAGTTTTCGAGAAACCTCACTGAGGAGCCTCTCGAGGTTCAAGGAGCTGGTCAAAGAAGTCCTTTCACAGGAATTTGGTGACACAAGTAGTTCTGGTATATCAGCGGCAGTTTACACAGTGATTACTCGAGCCTCCAGGGTGAGCAAGGGTTTGATAGCAACAAAGATTGGCAAAGAAGAACCTCACAATTCTGAGGATAGAGCTTGTGTCAGTACACATGGCTGCTAATCTAGTGGGCAGTGTAAGAACAGCACTTGATGGGTACCAGATGACGGCAGACCATGGATGGAGTGATAGTATAGTCACACTTCATTGGATTAAAGAGGAGGTACTTACAAACAGTTCATGACTAACAGATGTCTGCAAAATTGACTGCAAAGATTTCTTTAAATAGGGACATGTTGCCTTCAGCCACAACCCAGGACAAGAGTTACTGTCTAATCCAGGAGTGGCCAAGAGAGAAAGAGACTGTACAGAAGCAGAAGCTAAGTGTACCATGGAGGCGTTTGCTGAAGCAGTGGAAATGCAAGATGACTTTGACAATGTGCTGGAAAATCAGACCTTTTGGCAAACAGTCAGAGTCTGTTGTGGCTCATGTGATTCCTTCAGAATTGCCAAAACAGGAAATCTACTACTACATATCTACTACTGCTCCATGCAGTCTGACAAGAGCAGTCCATTTAGAGTTACTAACTGACCAGACCACTAAGGGTGTCACCAAGTGTTTGGAACAGTTCATTGCCAGGTGGGAGATATATGAAGATACATTTGGATAATGCGAGGGGTTTTGTGGTAGCATCCAAGTGGCTCAAGAGTATTATGAGAGATGAAAAGATGCAAATCTATCTGGCTCATCATAACATCATTTGACAGTTTAACCAATACTTCTATAATTAACCAACCTTGTAACTCATAAAAGCCAGTTTGAATGCATTCTCCACTGAGCATGTCCCACAGGCCATTGTCGTTACCTCTCGCAGTCCTGGTGGAGCCACCTGTTCAAGAAAAATTAATTTGTTAAAAATTTGCTGTACCTGTATTAAAATGCTCCCTTTATTAAGCCCCTCTACAATGAAACCCTTCAAAAAATAATTTCACACCTCCTTTTCAAGATGGTAAGAGAACATCCTTTATGAAAAGGAAAACAAGGATTTTGAGATACCTGACTTTATGTTTATAGAGCTGTTCTTTAATTTCACCAGATTCACTATTCATATTCCTTAAGGTTACTCCAAACCTTCAAGGGTGTCCTCCAGAAAAATATTTGCATGCATACTGTTTTCAAGGACCCCCCCCCCAAAACTATACATCACTAGAAGAGTTATGAAAAGTAGAATTCAATAAAATTATTATATTCCGTTTCGCAGATTGCTTTCTTAAGACAGCAGAAGCCCTAAACAGCAAATTGACGACTGAAATTCTGGCAGATTAATTAGGTATCAAATGCAGTTGTTCATGCAAAATAACTATGCAATGTTAATCACAAAGCATCAATCTCTCAAAGTGTGTCAGCATTTTCTTTTATTTCTACTGGTTATCTTTTTATAGATCTGTCCATTTCTACTATTGAAAAATTGGTGTAACATGTTGTGTTAGAGGCTGCCACAAGAAAAGTATTCATAACAAAAAAATTTGCCAACACACTTTTGTTCCTTATCTATCAGTAAAATAATGTTCTGGCCAAATTTTAAGGAAAACTGTCGTTTCTACATACCCTATTAATTCATCTAAAGAGGAGGGATTCTCTCAAAACACGAGTGCAAGTTTTCGCCTTCTAAAGATTTCTAAACATGTCACCCCTTCTCAGAGGGAGATGTCAACACAAAAAGTCACCAGCCAATGAAATAACAAAACCCCCAGCAATGACAGTATGCAAACTTGAGCTTGGTGGGAAAGCGAAAGTGTTACAGTCATGTTTTAGTTGCACATGTTTTATGCCAGTATTCAACAATAATGCACAAAACAGAAGGAAAGCAATGTGCAACTAAACAAAAAGAAACAGAGAACCAATTGCCAAAGCATGATTACAAGGAGTCACATTTGACAGACATGAAATCTTAAATTGAAAGTATTTGATATATGATCTCCAGATTAAGCCATTTGCCACAAAAAGGTCGCTAAGGAGTCCAAGCTTTTTGGGGATTATGACACCTTGATGGTTTATTAACATTTATTCAAAAACCTCTTTTTCCCAAAAACTTGTGTGCATTTTAATATTTTATTTTCATTTTTTTTGGAAAATGTTACCTTAAATAATGAACTTCAATTTGGTTGAAATAAAGAAAATTTGGCAAAAGTGGCCCCGCAAAGGTTTGGAGTAAGGTTACCTTAAGGTTACCATAATATAATAATAATATAATAACAATAAAGTAGTATTTTAAGGGGAGGCCTCCAGTCACCTTCAGAGGTGTCCTGAGTTAAGAAAATTGTCAGCATGCTGTTTTAAACTTTAACCACCACAAAATATACAGTGTATATCAATCACAAGGGGCTTACAGTATATCCTTCACAAACTGTGACATGATAAACACCATTGCCAGGGATCTTTTTTGCATAGTCTACACTTTGAAGCAATATGGAAATTACCCAGAATTTATTCTCACTTACTGGTTTTCGATTCCTCTGATATCAGAATCATTTCATTCCATGAAATAATTAAAGCAACAAGCCACAGATTTAAGCTTAAAATTTTCTTAAATACAGAGCTGTGTAAATGACATGGAATTTGAAACTGTGTGACAATCTGTTTTAGGACACCCCTTTGATAAAGGGTTGTAAATACTGAAGTCCCAAAAAACTAAATGAAACCACAGCATAGGGAAAATCTAGGGATTACAACGAACCAATTAAAAACTATCATATAATGCACACTTTCCGAGAGTAAGCAAACACGTATAAATTACAAAAAATAAGTGTCAATAAGGGTCGAATCGGGCCAGATCGAGGCAGATTGAATTTCATTCGTAAAATTGACGGAAACTTGTGAAAATGTATCCTGTCTACTTGATCTAGCATTATGGTTGCATTGCTCATTTGATTTGGCAGTGGATTTCTACAGTAACCTTAAAGGAGAAGGTCATTCCAAAAAGCTTACTTTTTTTGTCTTCGCCTGTAACAAGTAACCATTCAGCTTTTCCACTCACCGAAGTCTCAGCCTCTGAAGTGCCAGCTATCCTGAAGAAATTGGTCTCAAAAGAAGCAACTTCGGAAGCTGCCATTTTGAAACTGTCTTGGCAGCCAGGCCGTGTTTATGTGACATCACTCCGTCCGACCCGAAATTAGTAGGAAGGAGAAAAACATGCAACTGGCTTGGCATCCTTCACAAGTTCAGCCCTCACCTCACCTATCTTCTTCATGCTTTGTTGTGCATAAGGCCACACTACTCCTCTTTGACTTGCTCCTGTTCTTAGCCAGAGCTCTCGCTTCTTCCCAGGACTTCCAGCCTGCCATTGCCCTCTCTTTCTCCACATTACGGCGCCAGGTTGTTTTGGGGTGGCCGACTTTCCTTTCGCCGGTAGGTGTCCAGGTGAGTGCTGTGGCACAGTGATGCTCTCTGGGCATCCTAAGAACGTGTCCTAAAAACCCCCATCTCCTTTTCTTTACTTCCATACTCATCTTCATACATCCTGCTCTTTCGTGAAGCTCATCAGTTGATACTATGTAAGACCAGAATATGCCCAGGCTTCTTTTGAGGCACTGGTATTGGAAGGAGTCTACCTTTCTATTGTCTTGGACATTGGTCTTCCATGTCTCACTTCCATACAATAGGACTGGCTTGACTGAGGTGTTAAATAGCCTGATCTTGGTCCTCCTATTGTACTGCTTCGAGCTCCATATTCTCCTTAGCATTCTGAACGCTGCTTTGGCCTTACCCAACTTATTATCCATATCTGTGTCACAACCTCCCTCTGTGCTTACAACAGCTCCTAGATAGGTGAAATCCTTGGTTTCTTTGATGGTGTTGCAATTTTGGAACTTGAGTGGCTCTGTGTTCTTGCAGTTCAGCCTCGTGACTTGGGTTTCGGTCTTACTGATGTTTAAACCTACTCTCTGGGCAGCTTCTGTGAGCTTGTCTGTCTTCCTTTGCACCTGATGTTGGGTGGTGGAGATCAGAGCAATATCATCGGCAAAGTCAGCAACTTCTAGTTGGTCCATGAACCTCCATCTTATTCCGGTGTTGGCTTGCTTGGTTGTCTCGCACATTATCCAGTCAATGGCAAGGAGGAACAGGAACCCAGACATCACACACCCTTGTTTGACACCCGTTTCAACTTTAAACCACACTGCACACTTGCTATCTTGGTATAGAAGCTGGACTACTCTTATGATATTTTCTGGTATGCCATACGTCCTGATGTCCCAGAGGCTGGGTCGGTGCAACAAGTCAAAGGCTTTCTCTAAGTCAATGAAATTAACAATTAGGAGGACCTGCCACTCACATGACTGCTCGATAATATTGCCCAAGATGAATATTTGTTCTGTGGTGCTTCTTCCTTGTCAGAATCCTGCTTGCTCTGCTCTTAGCCTCTTATCAGCTCCGTTCCTCAAGCGCTCAACGAGGGTCTTATCCAACACTTAACTAGTTATGACAAGAAGCGTTATACCTCACTAGTTTGTGCATTCTCTTAAATTACCCTTCCTTGGTAACTTAACAATAAGACCCCTCAACCATTCGTATGATATCGCTTTGTTTTCCCAGATCATCTGAATGACCTCATACAATTTCTGTGTAGCTGCCATGATGTCTGCTTTCAACAACTCTGCAACAATGTTATGGATGCCAGCTACTTTTCCAATTTTTTAGGGAACTTATCACATTCTTGACTTCTTCTTTGCTGACTGGTCCAGTGTTTATCTCCCGATCTCGGGAACTTCGTCAGCAGTTATCACAATTGGGTTCACCAGTGGTGGTCTCTTGAGGATCTCTTTGAAATGTTCTTTCAATCTAGCAAGCCTGCTAGAGTCGTCTGTGATGGTTCTACCGTCCTTGTCATTGATAGCGTTGTTCACACAGGGTCTCTCATTGCAAACGGTCTTTGTTATGTCATATAGAGCCCTCATGTTCCCCATATCCGCTGCATTCTGTGCGTCATCTGGCCAACACCAGATACAACTAGATGCTAAGGCTGTTAAGCCACTCTCTTTATCAGATCTCAAATTCTTCTTCACCTCCTTGTCTTTACTCCTGTGTTTTGCACGTAGTTGTTGTTGGATTCTTTCAGACTCGGCATTTCCCGCTTTACCCTTAAGTTTTTTTCCGTTCCTCAATCTTCGCCCAAGACTCAGAGCTAATCCATGGTTTGCTACTTTTCCTTTTTCTACCCAGTACCTTCTGCCCTGTGTTGTTATAGGCTTTGTTGAATTGGGTCCACTTGCTATTGATGTCGTGATCATCATCTGTAGTTTCTAAAACGGCAAATCGATTACGAAGTTCTAGGGTAAGGTAAGGTTCACAAGGTCAGCAAAATCTTTCTTTTTCCTGAGCGATTATCCACTTCACTATCTTCAATGCTATCATTTTGGAGTTTGGAGCATGTTTGGCTCAAAATAATATGGCTCAAGAGCAGCCATAACCCAGAGTGGTAGTTAAAAGGCTCTTTGGAAGCTATTCGAACAAAATCTTGCAGATGGATTAACGTCACAGAAACGTGCCCTGGCTGCTGAGTGCTGTTCAAAATGGCAGCAACGATGTTCGAATTTTGGGTTTCTTCAGGGATGAATTTCATAAGGAAAACCTGCACTTTTGAGGCCGAAACTTCAGTGAGTGTTTGACCATAGTGCAAGGTTTTTATTAGCATTGACAAAGATATATGTTTTTTTTTGGAGTGACCTTCTCTTTTCATAGCCACCACATATAAAAGCAAATATATCTAAGAGCCCCACCCTAGAATAAGCACCACTTGCTGCACTTAATCAAAACATCTTCAGACTGAATTTTTTGAGAACTCAAGCTAAAAAGAAAGTACAGTACACCTCAGTCTAAACCAGCCTTGGAAAGATATTTTCCTGGATTACAATTATATTTTTCAGTTACATGTAGAAGTGGCTAAATTTTTTGGTCAACACTATTATGCATCTCATCAATTATAAATATTACTGTTTTTTTAAAAAAAGAGCAACCAACCCTCAATTAAGTTCCTTCCCTGAATAAACGCCAGGAGTGCATTCAATCAAATAAATATGGTCTTTTGAAGTAATGGTAATGTGAGGTTAAAACTTTGAAGCTTAAGGGAGATCAAACAGCACTCTCTAATGGCAGCCTCTAACTTTTTATTAATCACAGAATGGAACAGAACACTAGCCCACAAAGTCAACTCTCCGTTAATGCCTCCTTAAAGTTTACGCTATTTATACTAATTTAGAAAAATGGAGAAACAACAAAAACGACTGAGTGAACATTTTCAACTCCATTCGTCAAAAAGAGTATTGCTAAAAAGGAGAAAATGACTATGAAGAGGACAATTAACTTTGACACAGAAGGATCATGAGCAGCAACCCTCAATTCTCAGATCAGTTTACACTGACTGACCTTTCTAAGGAATCAATGTAATTTGCAGCCACTTATCAGTTTGGTAACTGTGAAAATGAAGGATAACTACATGTACATGACTATATGATCATATAAAAAGCAAATTACAAACAGGTGTGAGAAGTGGTAAAAAAGTGCATAGCTTTGTAAGGTTATCAAATGAAAGATTCTTGTTGTTCCAGTTGAACCTCGATTATCCGGACTCGTTGGGACTAGACAAAATAGTCCGGATAATGGAGGGCCCAGATAATCACAAATATGAATATTAATGAAGAACAAAGCTGTTTAAATAAAGCAACATTTAATCGTGAAACAACACTTTTACAAATTGCTTGGAAAACAATACAGTCTACTGTACATCTTGAAACACTCAACTCTGAGCGACTCAGAACTCATTTGAGTGTTCTTCTTTAATTACGATGCATGCGAGCACTGCTTTTGCTCTTTAAAAGCAAAAAACTTGCTTTTGACTGCACCTTTCAATGCTATAATTTTAAAAAGAATATTGCTACAGATCTTGATCATGACTAATAAATATTCATGACAAAATTGGGACTAGAGAAAAAGCCTGGATAATCAAGAAAACCGGATAATCGAGGTATGGATAATCGAGGTTCGACTGTAATTATCTTTGCTAAAAAAAGTTTTGATAACTATATAAAATATAAAAATAATTGACTGGCATGTTGGTAAATCAAAATGAGTAACACCAATTCGTGCTTATGCTAAATATCATCGCAAAGAAAAAATCTACTGAACTGTCCATGGGAGAAATCAGCTTTGAATATATACATGTACATAGATCTAAAAAATAAGAATAGATGCTTCATATAAACTCTTGGCCTTTGGCCATCGTAGCTTCATTAAAAATATAACACAAACAGTCGTGATAAACATTTTAAAAACATGCATTTTATGAACTTGATGTTTCGTATGCTAGTCAACATACATTTTGAAAAGTATAACTGTTAAAACTTTTTGAAAAGCTGTATCAATGGGGGTCTGGAACCTAGACAGAAAACACCTACAGTAGAAATTTAAGACGTTTTAAACGGAAACTGTCTGTACAGTGACACAATGGAAAAGGTTTCCTAATAAAGTAAAAGCTTTTCACTGCTGACATTGACATTCAATGCTGGCTGTAACTCCTGAATTAGCAAGGTCTCCTTCATTTCGAACAAGAAGATCTGTTAGATCTTATAACCGCGCTTTTAAAATTTAACTGTTTTGGTAGCGCTACAGTTGCAATACAATGCACATTCCAAAGCAGTCCTTGATGATTCTTTTCTTACTGTAGACATCACATCACTTGATCAACAAAAATTCTATTATTGCACTATCAGTCGTAGCCGTTGTCTCCCATGACGTAATGGTCTTAATTTGGAAATTTCCTCGGGATATGTATGGGCATGAAGATACGAACACTAAACTCTATCCCGNGTTTAGAAAAGCACTTTTACGCTGGTACCTTGTTCAATACTAATGAAAACATTATCTCTTTATAACTTTCTGAGCTATTTTGTCATTTTTCTTCTTCTTTTTCTTTTTCTTTTTTCTTTTTATTAATAATCTCACGTTATACATAACCTTAAGGGGCACAAAATTAGTTTATCTAGATGTGTCCCTCTCCTCTTCTTCCAATATATAATGTAATTCAATTTAAGTGACGTAATTTCTGTTTTATGCGTTTTTTTTTCTTCCTTACAAAGCACTATTGGTTACTATTTATTTTCTTTACGTTATATTTACACATCTCTGTATTAGCTAGGAATTGGAGGAATAAAATTAAAAAAAAAGAAAAAAAATAAATAATGGTAGTCAGTTTTGCCAGATGCTAAAATGTCAAAATGGTCCCATTTGATGTTGTGACCAGTTGTTTTAATGCGATCAGCAATAGCACAAGAGTGATCATGTTTCGAAAGGGCCTCGAAATGTTTTGTTTTCCGGTTGTGAAGTCTTCATTATGTTTTCCCAATGTAAAAATAATTGCAGTCCCAGCAACTAGCTTTATAAATGACTTTGGATAATTGTGATTGGTTGAGACGGTCCTTGTATGGGAAGAAGGATTTGATGCGCTGGATGTTTCAAAAAATAACTTTGTTGACATTAACAAAAGAGTATCTAGAAACGATTTACACAAGATTTTAGATGCTTAGTAATATGATTGCTATGGAGACCTATATAAGGTAATAAAATAATAACATTTTTTGGGGGGGGACTGTTGCTATGGGTTCATTTGGCTTGTTCTTGTTCTTATTCAGGACATCATTGATATCAAAAGTGAATAGATGTAGTTTCTTTTAAAAAACTTGGTCAATTAAATTGTCATAGATAGCATTTTGTTGATATCCAGAATGCTGTTAGTAATTCTAGGTTTAAAATGTTTCTTCCAGACTATTCCCAAACACATGCCCACAGAGAAGGGACCTTACAGCCCCTTTTTGTAACATCCCACTCCACTATCAACAGCCATGTGTCAAAACTGTCCTCAAAAATAGAGATGCTATAAATTATTATATTCAACTTACAGTGATCAATGTATCTTTTAAATCTTGGAGAAATGTAACAGGTGGATAAAGACCTAAAGCTGCACGGTTCACAAATGAAGACTGCAATAAAAAAAATTAATGTAAGAAATGGCTCATGTAAATCTCTAATTTCATAACACAAGCACACAGCCACACCTATATTTCTGTAATGCATTAAGTAGTGCACTTGCAGATAGCAAGTTACATGTAGGAAGTGATGCATGACTAAGCAATCACGAGGTAAAATCAGAACAGGCTCCCATTTTACACATATATACTTTCACACAATTTTTAAAACAGATAAACAACATACAGACATTGAAAACAAATAAGCCTGTTTAGCTGGCATGATTTTTGCTGAAAGTGCTTTGAATTTGACAGCCAAATGATAAACAGAATGCCATATCTCTTCTGATCTAATTGTTTTTTTTATTTATTTTTTTTGCCTTTACATGTTGTAACACCTTCATCAGTGAATGGGAACATCAGACTGGCTGACACAGGTGAAGTGCATTTTTGTTAAAATTCATGGTTGTCTATGCAGTATTAAATGTATGCTAGCATTTCATACTGTTTGTACCAGCTCCAGAAACGACCACTTTTTCAAATTCTTGAGGTGGCTGCTTGTAAGAGTTTTGACAAAATGTTAATTAATCATACCACATTCTTTGGATCTTGCATAGCTTGGACTAAAGCAGGATGATTGTAACCTGTTTTTGAAACAAAGCATCATTATACAAGGTTTCATTTTAGTCCAGGAAATTGTGAAATCCAGGAAAATCATGACAGATTATGTAAAAGCATAATAATAGTTTTGTCAGGAATTGGCACATAAACTGATATATAATTGATATATAGAGTCCTTGATTAAATATAAATCAATCAACTCTATTTAATTTGTTTAAACTAAATACAACCACTAATTTCAAAATCATATGACACATATTTGGAACAAATGTGATCAGACAAAATGATCTCTTTCTTCTTGACCCCCAAAGACCTGCCAGGTATAATATTATGCAAAAAAAAAAACAGTTTCTGATTTGTTTATTAATTAGTCCTTGAACAATGACAGAAGTATAATTTAGAGACAAAGAGTTGATTAACAGAGAGGTACTAGAACTTTGGGAATTCAGGCACCTTTTCCCTACGTGTACTTTGACATGAACATGCACCACATGAACAAACACATGACAGATTATGCTATTTTTTTCACTAACCTAATGGTATAGAGGCAATTTGCTGAAAAACATCCAACAAAACATTGCCATCAGCATCAACAATGTAGTTTCCTCTACTCTTCTCAAAGTCGGCAAAATATGACATACCCTTGGTGAGCTGAGGAAGTAAAAAAGAACACAATGTATGCACAAGAAATCCTAACAACTTGGATAGGACACTTAAATCTCATAAAGTGCCCCCCTCATTTTACACATGTAACTGTTGCAATTTCCTGTGTGTTCATACTGTGTGTTGAAGCAAAAAGCACTGCCTATATAATTTACATGCTTGCAACATGTACAATAGGTAAAGGTAGAGTCTGCATACAAGCCAAGTGGCCCATCAGACCAGCACTTATTTCTGGTTTCTGTAACATGAAGTGACTAGGAGTATTTCTACTCCTCCCTGAAAGGGATGCTGGTCCATTGCAAGGTTAGCCCGCAGCATTAAATTAACCAGTGAGAAACACCTGGCACCAAGGTGAGCCACAGATTGGCCAGATATCAGATACAATGGCTCAAACAGAAGAATGAAGAATATGTCAACAATTTCCTGACACATTGCCAAAATAGAGCCACAAATTCACGGACAATGAAGAGTCAGATGAGCACCTGATTGAGCAACTAATCATTCAGGGGTTTCATTAACATTTTC